ATACCGCGAAATTCTTTTTTCGGATGAAAAAATTTTTACTATTGAAGAAAGTTTTAACAAACAAAATGATAAGGTGTATGCCCACAGCAGTGAAGAAGCAAGCGCGCGTATTGCGAGGGTCCAGCGTGGGCATTACCCTTCCTCATTCATGGTTTGGCTTGGAGTCTCATATTCAGGCGTAACTGAGGTGTTTTTCTGTGAAAAAGGTGTGAGAACTAGTGCCGAAGTTTATCAAAATACTGTCCTAACAAACATAGTGGAACCTCTTTCTCAGACAATGTTCAGGAACAGGCATTGGATATTCCAACAGGACTCTGCACCGGCTCATAAGGCACGAAGTACGCAAGACTGGTTGATCGCTCGTGGAATTGACTTCATCCGGCATGAAGACTGGCCCTCTTCTAGTCCAGATTTAAACCCACTGGACTACAAGATATGGCAATATTTGGAGGAAAAAGTCTGTGCTAAACCTCACCCGAATTTGGAGTCTCTCCGAGCATCTCTGGTTAAAGCAGCGGCAGACATAGATATGAATGTGGTGCGTGCAGCGATCGATGACTGGCCGCGTAGATTAAGGGCATGTGTTCAAAATGGGGGAGGGCATTTCGAATAATGTAAATAAAATTATATTGTACATTTAATGACCTTTCATTTCATATATAATTTTTAAATAATTGTCAAAAGGCGTATAAGTTATTACATCAAAAGTTTGTGACAGAACTTATGACCCGACTAAGTATTTTCTATCTCAATGTTATGGAATCACAAACAAAACACGACTTCCAGACACATTTAAACCAAACGAACTAAATAAGTCAGTCGTTAACACTTAAACTATTGTTCTAACAAGACTACATAATATTTGGGCTAATGTATCCTCAATTAGTTTTTACAGATACATAATATAAGTAAACTAATTTTGTTTAGCGGTTTTATCTACATTTTCTTTTCCGAATCCTAAATAGAATCCTGGTCGAAATCTTGCTAAAGAATGGTCTACTTTGATAAAAATGGCACGATAAATAATACAACGTTTTTTATGTTATAGGACGCGTTTGGCGTCTTTTAGATGCCTAACAGAGAGCAGGAGATTATCTGATGGTAAGCTATCACCGCGCGTGAAACACCAGAGGCGTTACGTGATTAACTAATAACTAATATAATCAAAAGTCAAAAATCATTTGTTTCAATTAGACCACAGTAGGCACTTTTGAACGTCAAGCAAGCAAAAAAGGAAATATATAACATGAGCTTTAAAATTAAGCGTGTCAGTCTGTCCGTCTGTCCTCTAGTGAAGCTATTTGCTCGTTCCAAAGTGTAGATTCCTATGGAGAAGAACGAGCAAGAAACTCCATGGTTACTCTTTTTCAATCAGTTTGGGCGTCGCCAGCCTTTTGGGGATTAAGGTTGCGGAAAACTAGGGATTCAGGGGACCGTTCAGATTTCCTATCAATGGGTATTATAAGTACACCTAAGGAAACACCAGCGGATTACGAGAAAATTCCCGGCCCTTTGGGGATAAAGGCGGAAAATAAGGCAAAGGAGCAGACGGATTACCTGATGGTAAGCAATCTGCGCCGCCCATGGACGGACAACAGAGGAGTTACGAGTGTGTTGCCGACCTTTAGGGGTTGTGGAGGTATTGCGGGAGGGAAATGATTGGGCCACCGGTAACCTCACTCACACGGCGAAACACAACGTTTTGGTTGTTTCACGCCGGTTTTCCGTGAAGTAGTGGTACGACTCCGGTCGAGCCGACCCATTCGTGCCGAAGCATGGCTCTCAATGCAAGCATGGGATTAAGGGGAACGTTCGGATTTTCTATGCATGGGTATTAAATTCACAGATCCACAAAAACAGGGTTCATCGTTGGACGGGTTTCAAGCGCAATACGTGCTACAGCCCGACTCGAAGCAGGAATTGGAAAAATCACCCTTAATTCTTAGTCAGTAAGTCTGACACTCCCCCTCGCCTCACCTAGGGATGAGAAATTTGTTACTTTTTTACCCCAAAAACACTTTACGGCTATGATCTATGATCATCTAATCTATCCGTCTAAAGATTTGGACACTTGGCTATTAAGACTTCCCAGTTGAAGCGAGACACCGCGCAATGAACCTTCCTCAAGTTAATTTCAAAAATATTTTGCTCAAAGACATTTGCTTTCAAACATATTATTAATATGTAGATTACTTTTGTCAAGAGCTTATGTAATAGTGTAATGTTTGTGTATATTTAAACAGAAACCGAACAAGACGTAATATTTGCATACGAATTTGCATCGAAATCATTTCTTAGTAGCTATTTTAGCATAAATATTGATACTGAGTTTTTAGGGATCGTTTAGTTCGTTAGGTTAGATTTTATATTGAAAACTCTTTATTCGGTTTTAGACAATCTTTTTAGCAACACTTAAGTGTGGGACAGCCATGCTTCGGCACAAATGGGTCAGGTCGATGCGAATGATACCGTGGCCTCAAAGAAAACTGGCGTGAAACAACTACAGCGTTTTGTTTCGCCGGGTGAGTGAGGTTTCCGGAGGCAAAATTCTTCCCAATCCCTAAATATTGACGATTTCGGGAAATGACCTATTTCCCGAAATCGTCGCAAATCGTCTGATGTTGCGGGGGTCCATGGGCGGCGCCGATTGCTTACCATCAGGTAATTTATCGGATCGTTAACCGATCTACCACATAAACAAAAATATGAAGGGCTTTTTGAGAAGCGATAATCAATAAAATTATTTCTCTCGCCCAGGCAAGACAAGCAAGACGGAGTGTCAGACTCTTACTGACTAAAAACCACCCCGTCCTTTCCCTTGCTCCGGGGCCGCGGTAAATATGTCCAATAGTTTAAGAGCTGATTTTTCAATGGTTAGATAAAAATTACCTATGAAATAATAATGACTGCACGGTTGGCGCGGTGGGTGGGCAACTGGCTGCCGCGCAACGTGTCGCGGGTTCGATTCCCGCAGGACGAATAACGATTGTTGTTCCGGGTCTGGGTGTGAAGTGTATGTGAAATTGTATGTTTGTAAACGCACCCACGACACAGGAGAAAATCCTAGAGTAAGGCAACGTTTTTTTTAAAACAAAAAAGAATGATGCTGTACTGCGCGTCAGAATGTTTGTATAAGACAGTGACAGCAACAATTTTTGTTCCTCGGATAACATTTATCTGACTATTGAAAAATCAGCCCTTAAACAATTAACTTTGTATGAAAACCCGTGCGACGTAAATGGTCATAAAGGAAACTAACTGAATTATAAATGATGCTGTTATCACATTGATAGCAAAGATAGCTACTATCAATGTTAATGTTACTTAGTATTTAATTGAACTTAGTGCCTTACAATATTTGATATTTTCCTTATTAAATAATTAATGCTGCCTCTTTAGCGTTTGGTATTTTATTTGCATTTGTAGGCTGCAAACTACCTGATGGTAAGCAATCGAAACTGTCTTTGAAAACAAGTAACTCTAGAGGAGTACACAGGGTTGCTGGCCTTTTGGACGGGTGTAAGGGATTTGGGTATTGGAGATGGATTGAGCCTTCGGTAATGTTACCCACGTCTGTTTCCTATGAGGTCATTCTTAGTCTGGTAGAGCGTCCTAATTTGTACTGAAGAGCAGCCAAGCTTCTAATATATCCAATAGTAATTTAAAACATCAGATTTCATAAAGAATGCCCTTTTTTATTCAAGACTAGGCCTACCCCCGCTTCTCGCGGGTCCAACTAAGCACTATATCGCTAACAACGAAAAGGTCACTTTTCCCAATTTTCCCTGTAATTTTTATATTTTCTTCAAAAAGAACCTTCTCCTTACAGTAAGAAATATAACTAAAAAAGAATTGGCAAAATTGGTCCCGGCGTTTTTGAGTAGTGACATTAAAGTTGTTGAAATTAAAGCTTCTTTTAGAGGGTGGGAGAAAAATGCTTGCCTCCAAGGTGAGGCGAGAGGGAGTGTCAGACTCTTGACTGACAGACTGACTAAAAACGAATCACCCTTTTTCTTCTCCAATTCCGTGCCGGGGCAGCGTACATTGCGCTTGTTAGTACCCCAGCTAGGATTAAACTGATACTATTTCTATATTTCACGCGGGCGAATCCGCAGACGTAAGCTAGTGTTGATATGTAGGTATATATTAAAAAAAAAGTGTTGATGTCACCTTGTGAAGGCCGCATAGTATGTTGTTGACATTGTTATCACTAGTCTTTAAATATTGATAAGATAAATATTATCTATGCATGACTGTCTTGACGATTGTGGTGAAACTAGATTACAGTGCCATCTAGCGTATTTTAGCTCAACTATTATGTTAAGTAGGTAAGTTTTTGCGTTGATTGCCATTTCTTTACTTTTGTTTTCTCTAGCCTGCTATTGTTTTTGTCGATGCCTGGCCAACCGAGGTTGCGAGTGCAAGCGTAATGAAGCAAATAATATACCGAGGCCTGGGCCCGAAGCAGAAGAAGGAACGGGGTCATTTTTAGTCAGTAAGAGTCTGGCAAACCCTGCTCGCTCCGCCCTGAGCGGCAGAAGCCATTTGATATTTTTGGAAGTATGAAGGGCTATGGGAATACATTATTTTTAATTTAGATATGTGCAATGAATCTTCGAGAAGTTTACAATAGTTTCACTAAACGCATTCGGAAGATATACGTATTATTCAGTGTGTAAGTCGTTATTTTCAATTTAAGATGCTTGTCTGTTTATGTCTCAAAAAGTAGTTACTATACAAAACTTTTTATCCTACTAGTCATACCAATATTATAAATGTCAAAGTTTGTGAAAATGTATATGTAGATGTATGTTTGTTATTCACTCACGCAAAAACTGCTAGACCAATTTAGATGTTGCATGTAGGATAAATGATACCGTGGATTAACACAAAGGCTGCTTTTTATCAACATACCACGTAACAAACCGTAGACGGAATGCAGTATGTGTCACGATAGTTAATAATATAATATTAGGAATAAATAATAAAACAATACATACCCGTAACCTCCTAGTTTCAGCCTCCATACTCCGATCATACAGGGTGTTGGCGTACACAGGTGAGTATTGAGGGTTTCTGTCGAAAGCTGGCGACGGGAGACAAATACCTTTCGCAACATTATTCCTATCGATCTTCCCATAAATCTCATTTTTCTCCATAACATTCGAGTTATTGAACGTCTCCAAATTATTTTTCCCTGACTCCATTGCGTTTTTACCGGATTCTTTAATGTTAGTACCCGCTTCTAAACTATTTTGATTCAGTTTTTCGTCGGATTTTCTATCTATATTAATTTTTCCGTAAATGTTGTCGCATTGCTCATCATTGTTAACTTTTTTCGGTAACTTATTATAGTCTTTTGCTGGTTCGTTGAAATTCTTAACGATATCATCGATTTTCGTTTTGTTTCTAATAGCAACGTTGGCGTACGAACAGCTTTTTGGATCGATAGAATTGTTTTCATTAATCGATACGTTTTTTATTTTGTTCATGTAATTTGGCATCGTTTTACCTCCTAGCACATCTTTTGCTGGAGTATTAACTGTTAGAGAATTTGAACTAAACACCTTCGGAGATATTTCATTTTCGTTCGCTGTGTAGAACTGACTTCGGCCAATTTTTTGTTGTTTCGCATAGTACTCGAATTTTGATACTTTTGCCATTATACCCGTCAATTTTGGCTTTGATTCTTGGTCTGAATTTGAGTCTGATAGGTCTAAGTCTCTATAAGGTTTCTTAGGGGCGACTGGAGGTTTCTTCCTGGACATTTCTTTGAGAGTCATGTCTAGTTCTTGGTCTAAATGTGTGAGTGAGTTATCTTTGTATATCTTCTGTATGTTGGTGTTTTGGTAACTTTCATTGTGGTGGTTCACGTAAGCTGTGGACAAAAAGTGTTTGGTTAGTTTGGTATTATGAAAATAATTATGTTGTACGTCGTGGTAGCCTATTTTTTTTGTCAGGGGAAAATCATCCAATATCTTCTCCCGCCCAGGGTAAGGCGAGAGAGAGTGTCAGACTCTTACTGACTAAAAACCCCCCGTTCCTTCTCCTGCTCTGGGCCGAGGTCGCGGTGCCTCATTGCGTTTACCCCGCAGCCCCGGCTAAACATCAGCCCTATTGGGCCCCGACTGTGGTGGTCTATAGGCTCTTTGAGGCGCGCGCGGAACGCTACGCGCCGTACGCTCGGGACGTCGTGGTGGCCTGAGGTTCAAGCTTTTCATGCATGAGGGTAAGAGTTCGACATCTGGCAAGTACCGAAGCGACCTTTTCTGAGTTAAGTATACAAATATGTTCTTTCTACAATCGTATACCACTGACAAACAGTGAAGAAATTAATCGTGAAGTAAGTTGGACTCATAAAATCGGATTATAAGTTTGAAATCGCCAATGTGCCTTGAGCAAGCGTGATGATTGATGCTCAAACCTTAACCACGTGAGAAGAGGCCTTTGCTCAGCAGTAAGCACATACGCTGATGATATGATGTTAAACCTAAATAAATATAGAGAAGTTCTTAAATGTTTTACTGACTGTAATCAGTCGCCAAATCTCAGATTTGATTATAAGGTCGGCTAAGAATAATGTGATAGTTTTGAAGTCAAAAATATATTGACGTACGCAAGTGTGGGAGAGCCAAGCTTCGGCGCGAATGGGTCGGCTCGACCGGAGTGATACCACGGCCTCACAGAATACCGGCGTGAAACAACCCACAGCGTTGTGTTTCGCCGTGTGAGTGAGGTTACCGGAGGCCCAATCCCTCCCCTTCCCCTATCCCTTCCCAATCTTCATATCCGCAACCCCCATCCCCAAAAGGCCGGCAACGCACTCGTAACTCTTTTGGTGTTGCGGGTGTCCATGGGTGGCGCCGATTGCTTACCATCAGGTAATCCGTCCGCTCGTTTGCCGACTTATACCATAAAAAAAAATCTGACTTTAAAGTATAATTAATCATCAAAATAGAAACAGACTTTTACCAGACTATTGCAATTTGCGAAAATGTTACAATATAATATTAACAACACAACACTACAACACACAATTACAATATAATATAATATTAACAATATAATATTTAAGTATGTGGATCTTAAACTTGTCTTTCATAATATGAATGAACTTATAACATAAGGGAAAACTGTATATGTCAAAGGTTTCCCATGACAAAACCCTCGCGAACTGCTGATGATAAAGAACTAACCTGGAGTAACACATTGGTCGTTGGGCTGGAACTGGACTGGCGCCATGGAGACGTGAGCTGATGGTAGAACCGACTTCATGAGCTTAGCCTCGGCCGGATGGTTGAATCGGAGGTAGTTCGACCGGCCTATTGTTAGCATGCTCCCTGAAAGAAAAAAGGTCTTTTATTTATATTTAACAATTAATGGTTTACCGCATCAATAAAGCTTAATACCCAAATCTCATATCTTCAAATTCATATATCACTAAAGGCCAGTAAGACTCTTGTAACTTCTGTATGGTGTGACTTTGCGAGTATCTATGAGATACTGATTGCTTACCATCAGGTAAAAAGTCAGCTCCGAAGTCAGCGACCCATAAAATAAAAAAGAAACAAAAAAATATATGTAAACATGGACAATAAAATGTTCCGGTTAAAGAAACTTTTTTGATTAACATGAGAATAATCAAAAATGCGTTCGGGTTTCGGTAGACTATATCATCGAAAATCGCAGAAAACTTATGGATTAAGGATACAAAATGAAAATCAACAACGGTAGTTAAACATCGCCCCTGCAAAGCAGTGGTAAACACTTTAAAAAATAACAAAAAAAAACAGGCGTAAAATAACCAGTTAGATCCGGATAGGAATAAGTTTCGGTTGCTAACTAAATCAAATTGACTAAATTCAAGTCTAGACTGGAGTTAGACATATCGGCAAGGTCACCTGTATTTCCGTTGTGACATTTATTTTAAAGTAATTAAACGCTTGTCCTTGATACGTCGGCGATTTGTGAGTATAGTTTGATTTGAGATAATTAGCCATAGAATGGGTCGGCTCGATTGGAGTGATACCAAGGCCTTATTTAAAACCGGCTTCATCAAATGGGGGGAGTCAGACTCTTACTGACTAAAAACCATCCCGTTCTTCTCCTGCTCCAGGCCGAGGCCGCGGTACCTTATTGCGCTTGCCTCACAACCCCGGAGGGTATGGTTATATACAATACCGCCAACGTATCTTTGCCAGTCTGAAGTAAGCCGATTAGCTGCGCAGTACACAATTTTGTTCCTAAAAGATCCATTGACAAACGGCTAACTTCAGACTCGCCAAGATACGTCGGCCGTACTGTAAGGGCAACGCACTTGTAACTTTTAGTGTTGCGGGAATCCATAGACGGAGTCGATTGCTTACCAAATTGGCTATCAGGTGACCTAGGCCTATGCCAAAAAAGTCTTTGATTTTTCTCATCCACTTGCTAACAGAAAACCACCATAGAATACAGTACTTATTGTAATTCGCCGTGTAAGTGTTGTCAGTGCCTATTTGTGGTGCCGTAAGCTTCATCGTCAATCATCATCAACATCATCAGCCTGATTCCGTCCACTGATAGACATTGGCTCCTCCAATGGCGAGCTCGATATTCAGCTTTTTTCATCCAATCACTGCTTACCATCAGGTAATCCGTCAGCTCGTTTGCCGATCTCTCTAATAAAAAAAACCAACCCACCTTGAGAAAGTCTGGTCGGTTTATCCACTGGTAGTCCATCCAGTAACGTGCTGCCACTGAGGGGGTACAACGTGACCACTCCATGGGAGTTCTCGACCCGGCAGTGCACACTGGCCACTCCAGTTCCAACCACGTAGATATCACATGTTGGGTCAGAACCGATGGTGACACGACCTGAAAGTTGAGAAGGAGGTTTAGAAGACAAATCTTGGGAAGCTAGGGTTTCAAGTGGATTGTTGTCAGTTTTCTTTGTCAGGTGAAATTATCAAATGACTTCTCCCGCCCAGGGTAAGGTGAGAGAGAGTGTCCTCTTACTGATTAAAAACCCCTCGTTCCTTCTCCTCTGCTCTGGGCAAAGGCCGCGTTGCCTCATTGCGCTTGCCCTTAACCTCGGCTGAACATTAGCCAAAAAGAGAGAATTGAAGTAATCAGCTTTGATAACATTCTTTGATTCCCTGTTAATCTGTATATAGAATACTATTCCATATTGAGTTAATTATTTAATAAAAATGAAAAATAATGCTTTGACATTTAGATTGTCACATGGATTAAAAGGATTAAAAGGCAACTTTCTTCAAGGTTTTCTGTGAGGCCGTGGTATAACTCCGGTCGAGCCGACCCATTCGTGCCGAAGCATGGCTCTCCCATACTTGGCATAAAAATAAAATTGAGTAAGTACTTCAATTCTCTTCATTTCCCTTGAATTAAATGAACTGTACATGACGATATAAACATATATATACTGTTGAATAGTTACTAGACTATCATCAGACACGTATGTGAGTATTTGTAGATCTTTAAAGTGTTGAACGCATCTTACCTTGCTTGATGGGATGCAAGGTGACAGCGGTGCTCAGCCGACCGGTGCCCAAGCTCACTAGATGAGGAGTGTTGGTCGCCACTCTGGAAAAGGAAAACATACACTTTAATCTATACTATCTATACTAATATTATAAAGAGGTAAAATTTGTAAGTTTGTATGTAGGGGGTAATCTTTGGAACCGCTGGTTGGATTGCCAAAATTCTTTCACTGATGGATAGCTACAATGTTACTGAGTGCTATAGGCTATAAAACATCACGCTACGATCAAATGGAGCTGAGCAGCGGGTGAAACCGCGCGGGAGTAGCTAGTAAAACATAATTACAACTACAACTTTTTTAGACTATTTCTAGCTTTCCAGCCGTAACTTTGCCAATTCTTCTGTGGTTAAAATTAGAATAAGATATTTAGTTAAACCTTCATCAGGAATCACACTATGTATTGTTGGAAGTCGTCACAAAATCCTTACTACTTTTTAAAAGGCCAGCAACGCCCAAAAAGTAGTGACATCCATTAGATAGTGGACAAATTTTGGTATCACCATGCGAAACCGGTGCGGGTCGCGAGTACACGACAAAAACTAATCCAGCAACGAAATAAACAACTAATAAATTAAAGTTGTAACGAACACAGTTATTTTTAAAACAGTTATCGTTGTAACGTCATAACCAAGTTACGGGTTACGCATTAAACTTGGTTTATTACCGCCACATCTGGTCGGTTCAAGGAGGTTATGAGTTGAAGAGTAATACTGACAGATGGATGAAATATTAACACTATATTTATCAATGAAAACACGGGGAGATTTTATTTTTTTGAGCAGACGGATTACCTGGTGTTAAGCAATCATCGCTGCTCATGGGAATCCACATCAACGGAAGAGTTACGAGTGCGGTGCCGACCGTTTGGGTATTAGGAATTTGGAGATTTCGGGATTGGGATAGGGATAGGATTGAGCCTCCGGTAACCTAACTCACACGGCGAAACACAAAACTGTGTTCTTACTTCTGTTTTATGCCGGTTTTCCGTGAGGCTGTGGTGTCACTCCGGTCGAACCGACCCATTCGTGCCGAAGCATGGCTCTCCCACACTTAAGTGTATTCTATACTTAAGGTCCATCAACCCAACTTACTAACTAAAAGTGATTATTCAAATTAAGTAACCATTCTATTTTTAAACTAATTTATTTCTATTTTCAAAAAATACTTCTACCTTTCATCTGCTTTACACATAAAACCATAATTCATAATTATAGGAAGACGAGACAGTCTATTTATAGGCGTTCGCGATGCGCACGCGACTGTCGGTTCACGTTGCACTTTTCTTTCGTTTTGGACACACCCTGTGCATAATTAAAGTCACGCTGTATACAGTTCAGGTTGAGACCTGCTTGCTTTAATGCGGTGAGGTTAATTTTATCTGTGGTCTATTTTGTAGTTAATTTGTTTCTTTAGAAGCTAGGGTTATGTGGTGAAAAGTGTTTTTAATAGATTTTAGTGTTTTTATTTTAGTATTTTATATATTTACTTAGTAAGGGGGAGATCTTTGTTCAGCAGTGGACGTCTTCCAGCTGATGATAATGATGGTGATGTTGATTTTAGTATTTGTGGAATAGATACTTTTTTTATTATAACTTTTGTGAGACATAATAAATTAATTATTATGTTTTCGGCTTATTCACGGTGTTGCGGAATGCTGCTCATGAATATGGGCCTCTAGCATGGCTTGAAACTAGTCGAGTATCTCGTCAAAACAATTACGTGAGTAAGCCAAAAACATAATTATTAATGTGTTATATATTATACTTCTTCCAAACTTCTTGGTCGAAAAATTTCATAATTGTTTTTCCTCTATGGTCAATACAATACATTTTTTGGCAGTCACATTGTTACAGTTTAACAAAAACTGCCAAAAAATGAATGTAACTTAAGTTTACATACATTTTTAGTTTAATGTTTTTTCAATAAGGTTGAATTTCCCATTCGATCTCCAAGTAATGACTAGCTGATTCTTAATAATGATGACGCTGATTTCCCAACTATAACAGGGTTAGCAAACTTAATTTTTTAATTCAATTTTATGCATTGTTTTCTTTTCAGAGACCTAGCCTAACCGAACAGCCCTAGGAAGTTCAGAACATGTGGGGTCATGTGAAGGAAGTGGCATTCTATTTCAGTGGCGCCTGCGCATCGTGTTTGTTTTGTTGCACCCGCGACTTCAGACTGGGACAGTTTAGCTAAAATGTTTGAGTAAGAAAGAAAGAAAGAAAAACCATTTATTTCACACACAAATGAAGCAAGAAACAAACACAAGCACGTATCTTCTTCTTCTTCTTATAAATAAAAATGAATTGTTGTTCATTAGTCTCGCTAAAACTCGAGAACTGCTAGACAGACATGGCTTTTTGTGGTATTGAAATTTTCCTAGATATACAGGGAAGGTTTAAAAGGTCAGATTAAGAAAAAATTAACACCTGAGGCGGAAAAAGTTTGCCGGGACAGCTTGTAATAAATAAAAATATACATTGAACCATTGAACATTGTTTCTATGATTTAAAACAATACTTTGAAGCAAAATTATGAATATTGAGATGCTACAAAATTTAGGCACTTTTTTTAACTATACTAATATTATATAGGTACAATTTGTAAGTTTGTATGTAGGGGGTAATCTTTGGAACCGCTAATCGGATTGCCAAAATTCTTTCACTGATAGATAGCTACAATGTTCCTTAGTACTATAGGCTATAAAACATCACGCTACGATTAAATTAATGGAGCTGAGCAGCGGGTGAAACCGCGCGAGAGTAACTAGTTTTTATTATTTACATTTTTTGTGCCCAGGGTGCGACAGAGAGTGTCAGACTCTTACTGACTAAAAACTCCCTGTTCTTTCTCCTGCTTTAGGCCGAGGCTGTGGTGCCTCTAGTATCGGTTCCGCTAGTATCGAGAAACGTCTCGATACTAGCGAGATGCTCCTACTTTGAACGGGTGATCACCTGGTACCAGTCATTTGTTTTGTTAGCAAAACGCAATTGAATCGATATGAATGTATAACCTATGTATACATTTTAAATGTGGTAGAGCCATGCTTCGGTAGGAATGGGTCGTCTCGATGGAAGTGATACCACGGCCTCACAGAATACTTACGAAGCAACTCTGACGTTGTGTTTTGCCGTGTGAGTAAGGTTGCTGGAAGCCCAATCCTTCTCCCCTCATCCCACCCCAATCCTTGAGTAACTGATCAGTCGGATCACCTGATGTTAAGCAACCAGTGGCATCTAATCTAATTTCAATCTAATTTAAGTGTGGGAGAGCCATGCTTCGGCACAAATGGGTCGGCTCGACCGGAGTGATACCACGGCCTCACAGAAAACCGGCGTGAAACAACCTCAGTGTTTTTTCGCCGTGTGAGTTACCGGAGGCCCAATCCTTCCCCTTCCCAATCCCTCCCCAGTTCCTAAATCTCCAAATCCCTAAAAGGTCGGCAACGCAATCGTAACTCCTCCGTTACGGGTGTCCATGGGCGGCGCCGATTGCTTACCATCAGGTAATCCGTCTGCTCGTTTGCCGACCTATTACATAAAAAAAAACTATCAGTAGCTTCCAATAAAACGGCAAACACAACATAAATATCTTTTGCTATAAAATATTGTTGCGCTATTTCAGTGCATTTCCGAAGCTCAGCCATCTTGACAACCAATGACGAGTCCCAGGTTCAAAACCGTTCTGTTCACTATCAATCATTTGCTAAACAAATTCTAATATTATCCGTCTGTCGCTTTAACAGCATCCCGATGTTAAAACTATATTTAGAAACCTTTAATGCATTGCAATAAAGTTCAAATTCCTTTAGCTAAATATTCTTTAAGTAAACTTTAGTTGGTGAGTCAATGCGTCAGTTTTTGGCAGTTTAGTTCTTGTGTCTGCATGTGTAAGGTGCATTTTAGTTTGTTTATTTATTTATTAGGGTGGTTGTGACCGGGAATAGTCTTTCTCACGTGTCGCTTCATATATTTCTGTTTTGTTTTTTAATGTTTTTGTTGTAAATTTGAAGATTTCAGGATGGTGTATTGTAAATTGTACCTTAAATGAAGGCTTGTAAGTCCTTTATGGCTCTTTCATTGAGAATGATAGACAAAAATACGCTGTTTTATGTGATATGTCGGCAAACGAGCAGACGGATAACCTGATGGTAAGCAATCGACGCCGCCCATAGAAACCCGCAACAAAGGAGGAGTTACGAGTGCGTTGCCGACCTTTTGAGGATTGGGTTTTCGAAGATTTAGAGATTGAGGAGGAATTGGGCCTCCGGTAACCTCACTCACACGGCGACACACAACGCTCTGGTTGTTTCACGCCAGTTTCCTGTAAGGCCGTAGTAACACTCCGGTCGAGCCGTCATACCTTACGTTACTTTAAACAAATCGTCTTTATTACAACCAACAAAATAACATAATAAAACAAAATTCTATACCTATACAACGACAAAACCATTGTTTTAAATGTACAAACTGAATTTAACTTAATGAATTTGACAGCACGGTTGGTGCGGTGGCTGGGCAACTGGCTGCCGTGCAACGTGTCGCGGGTTCGATTCCCGCACGGAACAATTCTTTGTGTGATCCACAAATTGTTGTTCCGGGTCTGGGTGTCATGTCCGAAATTGTATGTTTGTAACCGCACCCACGACACAGGAGAAAACCCTAATGTGTGTCGGGCAACGTTTTATATAAGAAAAATTCCAAAATAAATCGTTTGAACTCCGATAAAAGTGCAATGGACGATAACTATGCATAGATTACACAGTCAACTGACCCTAATACGATTCAATCGATATGTTTATAAACACAACATCTTTATCAACATAAATACTGCATTTGATTTGCACGTGTTATTTATGTTCCGACTAGCTAATCTCGCGCGGTTTCACCCGTTACTGATGTTGTGTGATGCTATAGCTTAGGTACTAGCTTTTGCCTGCGACTTTGTTCGCGTAAAACTGTGACTTCATGTTGATTTTTGGTTTAAAAACTATCCTTTGTTCTTTCTCGAGTTCTAACCTATGTCTGTACCACGGCGA